CATTTTAATTTTCGAACAGCAAAAGTTATTGCCGACCGATCAAGGGTGAGCGGGGTAACGTGTTCTATTCCCGTGAGCATTCTGTTTGAAGAGGACCGGATACTGTTTGGCGTCCGTCTACGACAATATACCCACGTTTAATTAAGGATTGTTTTGAGGTGTTCTCATTTGCTTATTAGTTCTTCGTATTGAAGTTGGATCGCTTTGAGGGTTGCTCTTGTAAAAGAGATCGGCTTTTATTGATTCAGCAGATAATTTCAATAAGTCTAAAATCAACAGTGATGTTCCTTTCCAGGTGATGAAAGATTTTTGTTGTAGATTTATACGCAACGTATTCTATACATAAGCCTCCCTCTAAGGGGGTTTTACCAGTAGTTGCCATGCTTGGCAGGCATTATTGGTAACCGCAGTTAAGCTTTGGAGATGTTTTAAGAGGGACGCTCCTGCTCATCCATCGTTCTTCCTTAGTTGCCTCTTACGACACCCACGGGAAAGGATGGGATAACCTATTCTATGCCGGGACCGCACGTAAACTTTTGAAATGATCAGTTAGAAACATTAAAAACTGTTTTATTATTTTAATTTGTATTGTTTTACTATATAATTTTATAATGTTGTATTTTATCTATTGTTAAATAATGCATGTAGCTGATTTCTACTTACTTTATATATTATATGCTTATATAGCAAAACTTGGAGATACTGTTTAATTGTTATAATAAATATATTTACTTCACCAATAATAATTAATAATCCACCATAAATACATTTGTATTTGATAAATGCAATAAATTTCCTTAATCTATGATTTATCTTTAAATATTGTTAAAAAAATATTGTATTTCCTTTTTTTTCATATATATATATATGTTTGTAAATTAATATAGCTCCATGTATGAGGTTGTTCATAGAGGACTTATCTTCTTTTACTATCCATTGTTATCTACCTGTGTATAATTACTCTTCTCTATCCAAAGGTTGTTTGGAAGAGATCGCTCTTAGCTATAAAGCCATTTCTTGTTTTCTCAGTGTAATATTTTCTTGTAATTGTTTGTATTTATAATAAGTTTACTATTGTAATCTTATGTGGGAAACAATAAAGAGTATCTATCTATCTACCTATTTATCACAAAATAAGTAAATGAAATTTATTACTTTTTAAATTGACAGACAACTGCAACGTTGTGGCATTCCAACAAGCTAAATTTATGAAGACTCTTTATAATATTATTATAAATATAATAATTTTATAAGCAGCGTATAAAACGTATAATTATGCTTTTACAATTCACCGTTGAAAATCAGTATGTTTGGGAGGTACTTGCAAATCTGTAAGGAAATGCACCGAACGCCCGCACCGACGATAACGGGTTCGCAAAGAAAATATGGCGACAACACGAGTGCTCGTACACACTGCGGGCACACGGAAATTAACTTGGCACGAGGAAAATACTTTTTATAAGCTATTTTTGAAAGGAGAACGTATTAGAATTGTCTGTATTTCTAAATCTTATCTTACTTATATAAAGATGTTCCACAAAAAACAAAAAAAAAAAAAACAATCGTGGTAAACCAATTATTTTGTATTTAAAACTAAACAACTCAAATGAATTTGATAAAATTTCTATGGAACCAATTTGTAAAACATAGATGTAATTTTTAGATAAAAAGAAATATCTTTTATTATTTGTACTTGAGATAAGACTGAAACTAATAAGTTTGAATAATAATCTGAAACGAGGATATCCGCAAAAGAATCAAAGTAACCGACATAGCCCGAAGAATAAGCAAGCTGAAGTGGCAATGGGCTGGTCACGTAGCTCGAACAATCGACAACCAAAGGGAGAGAAAGGTTCTTGAGTGTCGATCCCGTACGAGTAAACGCAGTGTAGGACGACCCGCATTGCAAGGAGTCAGAATTCCTTATGGCAATCTATGGGGGAGGCCTATATCGAACAGTGGACAGATAATGGCTGAAATGATGACTACATTAAGCTAGTTACTACATAAGGATGTACATTTTCGATTGGTTGATTCAGTACTTGTTATGTTAGTTATTAAGAATATACATTTTCGATTGGTTGATTCAGTACTTATTAAGTTAGTTATTAAGCATGTACATTTTCGATTGGTTGATTCAGTGCCTGTAGAACGGTCGGAACTTTTAATAGTACAATCTAAGTCAAGTAACCGACTATCGTGTGTGTGCAGACTCACGAAATCCCCGGTGCAGACGTCGGCAACTGCGAAACATCTTAGCATAATTAGCCGAAAGGGCTGTTTATTGCTAATATTAGTTGTAGGGATTAATACTAGCTGCGTTATGGGCGTTAACAGCTATTATCATAAGTCTGCAGTGCGATTAGTTGCTCAGATTTGAGGCGTAACGACTTTATACAGTGAATGGATTTATTTATGATTTTGTTTTGATTCATTATTATAATATTACTATATTAGTTATAAACTGTCCAATACCGAATATAGGCTTTCCCCATAAGAGAAAAAATAGATAAATTAATTAATTTACCAGTGGGAGACTTTGTATAAAAGTCATCTGCTTGGATATTTCTGTCTCATTCGCGTTTCTACCGTGAAACAGTTGTGTTTGAATGGCAGTGTTTTAGTTTGAAGGGCGGGATATGACAGTGAATTTATAGGGTACAGAGAAATAACACCTGAATCCTCAGGAATGGCAACGCATGGGCGAAACAGTGTACTCTGTCTCATGGTACTGCTCATGTCTATAGGCGACGGTTACCACTGTCCATTAGGTGGGCCGTCTGTTTATTTGCCATTTTAAGTTGCATAAAAAATACAATATGGGATTCATACATAGCAGCCCTTAACTGTCCACTGATGGGATACGACATGGGATATATAGTATGTACTTATTTCCTTTCTCTAAAAAAATATCCAATATTTATGTGTTATTATTTAAATTCAAAAACTTTTCTTTTTCTCCTCATTATATACATTATATAGTTTTGTTAATAGATAGAGAACATAGTAAGTTCCCAACCAACTTTATAGATCCCTAAGTATATTAGTTCGCTATAATAACAGATAAAAATAAAGATAACACCCGTCTCCTGAGATGAGACTGCAATAATTGGTCTTATGCACAAATCCAAAAACATTACGCCACCCCCCGAAGACGGCGGGTAGACGCGGCAAATCTTCGAATTAATTTTACTGCCGAAATATGCAAATGGGAGATATAGCTACCTAATAACATGTACAAAAGAGTGGTGACTGTGGAAACCAAAGCAGTTGGGTACGATAATACGTAGATGGTAGACGGAACGGTCCTAGTGTACTGCCTTTGAATACGGCGCCTCTGAGAGGATTATGTAGTGGTACGAATATTAATGTAAAGTAATTTTAGGCAATGACGTAAATTCCGAGAAGGTTTTGATATTGCTGTGTGTCTTAATATATATATATATATATAAAAGATTATGTCAAAAAGCAATATTCTCAGTTAATACTTAGTTGTATGGCAACTTTCCTTCAGTGAGTATATAATACATATACATAAAGACGTGTGTGTATAAAAAGAAATGTCCATATATACTACATACAAAGATAGATTATCATCTACACTACAGTTCTTGTCAAATTATCAAATCAAACTATAATACTTTCATCTTCTAAAATCTAAATCACTCTTACGGTTATAAAATGACTAAATAAGAAACATCAAATTTTCATATTTATTTAGTTAATAAAGCTATACTAGTTTCTAGTATTTATTCGTTAAGTATATTTTTAATTTAAGGTATTATGATATCGCGATCTCAGATAAATAAAATAATAAGAATTCTCTTATTGATTTTTGTAAGTAAATTAATACTTCGTAAAGTTTTATGGGCTAGGTGCTCTGCATCGATTGTAATCAAAGTAATAATCTTTGACTTAATCGTTACCTCAGGCTAACATTATAGCCGCTTCGAGGAGCTTAATAGGTAACAAAATTTAGCGTGATAGTAGAAAATGCACGATGCTTACGTGTTAGCTTTCTTGGTTAGTTATCAGCTGTATTAGATTTCAGGTGTTTGGTCTCACTGAATAATGTTAACAGTTTTTAAATATAATCTGTAAAGTATATTATTATAATCTATGTTGGAAGAAAGAGCATCTAGTGGGATCATTCATCATCATCATTTCCATCAGACATAGGCCTCCTCGGTAGACTGCCATAAAAAAGGTCCTGAGCCACCTGTATCCACCGATTCTCTGCAATGCGTTTGCCCGTACGGGGTCACCACTCAAGAACCTTTCTTTCTCATCAGTTATCAGTTCTTCAAGCTGTGTGACCAGCCCATTGCCTCTTCAGCTTGCTTATCCTTCGGGCTATGTCGGTTACTTTGGTTCTTTTGCGGATATCCTTGTTTCGAATTCTAAGTCTAGCGGGAAATGACAGTGAAATTACCAGGTATGGAGGATTAACACTTTGAGGTAACGCATGAGATGTCCCAAGTGATACCCATGCGTTACAGTGCATTTTATGGTAAGGTAACTGCCACATATACACACAAACATGAAACGCGTCATGAACATCTCAGAATACGTTATTAACCTATGATATTTCATACATTGCTACACCCGGTGAAGTAAATGTTATGTCTTAATACGTAGTGACTTCAGTCACATATCTCCTTCTAAACCATTTCAACCTTTGCTCCGTAATCGACTTGGAACAAAGATGACCTGGTCCCTCTAGACAAGTGACAAGCGAATTCGTCAATGGAATCGACATCGTTAGCGTATCCGTGAGATAGAATGAGATATCAATGCCAGATGACTCATTCCAACTCACGGAGTCGCTAGCGATGTCGATTCCATCGACGAATTCGCTTGCCACTTGTCTAGAGGGCCTGTATCCCTAGACAAGACGAATCTATCAACAGAATTGTTTCCGTCAGCGTTCGCACGAGAAAGAACGAGACGTTGCTAACGATTTCCACTTATCTATCGGCAAGGTACATAGTCTCACTTACTTGCATAGGACAGTCTGACTACCCGAGTCGAAGAGCCCAGCGCGGCCCCATCGCGAGGGTAGCTCCAGGACGGTGACACCTCGTGATCCCCACACGCATAATCTACTTCCACAGGTACTGCTGATGATGCGCTCTACGGAGAAGGCTGGTGGCGTTAGAAGATGGAGTTTCTGAAAAAAAGAAAATACAAACATAAGCTTTATTTACGGGCTTGTCAGTTTATGACAGGGTAAATGTAATTCTTGAATGTGATCTGGTCGTCCCAAGATCGAATCTTCATCTCTGAATTTTTCACATTCATTTTAGGATTATTAAAAAAAAAAAAACATTATCATATCAGCCGTTAACTGCCTACTGCTGAAAATAGGTCTCCCTCATAAGGGGGGGTTTGCCAGTAATTGCCACGCTTGGCAGGCGGGTTGGCAACCGAAGTTAGGCATTGGTGATATTTCAAAAAGGAAGCTGCTGCCTATCTCTCGACTATGTTTTCTTTGTCGCCTTTACGACTCATACCAAAAAGGGGGGAATGGTCCATTCCAAGCCGGGATCAGACTGTATTAAAAATATATATTGTCGCTTAATTCATAATTCGAAGAGTACGTAGAGCTATCATTTGGTAAGCTACATAAGGACTTTAGCGCCACCTTCAAACAAGTAGTATCGTACTACTATTAAAATCACGAAAGTTTATAAGGATGGATTCACGCAAAAACTAGTGACTGGATTTGAAGAAAATTTGGTACACGGATAGCTTATATGCTAATTTAAAACAGGATACTTTGTACAATAATTCACGTGGGCGAAGAAGCAGGATACAGCTTATTAATATACAAAAAACTGTAACTAGACGATATCTGTACATGGGAGATATTTAAGAAAAATTGAAAAGTGGGATCTTAGCAAAGCCAAAATTAGCAATTTTGTCTGTTTGTCTCTATTTTTTGTTCAAGCATCTGGTAAAAACTACTGTATCAAATTGGAAGCTGTTTTCACAGTTGTATTCCTGAGAAGTAGACCTTCAGAGGTCTTAACTTAAAATCTGGTGTATACTTTATCTTCATACACCATCTACAAGTGCCTACACAATTCACGTAGACAAAGTAGCTGGCAAAAGTCTTGTGAAGAATAAAGGATGTGTGACGTATTACTAGCCATCCTAATACGCCTTTTATATTTTTCCCTTGATTTTACTATTGTCTTATGTTTTACAATTCTGTCATGGATAGTCTGTTTTCCTACAGATGAATATATGACAAAAGAGAACTACAATATCCAGCATTTTAATTTACAACCCGTTTCCTTTAAGATGCTTAATTGCGAAGATATTTGGTCTTTTTTTGGGAGCGTATGTTTGCGCATTCGAATACATTTACTAGGCATACATAATTAGTTTGGGAGTTTGCTGTGTTACCAATTGGGGTACGACTAAAATAAGAGTTAATCCATAACCGGTACACCGATACAACTATCTATCTTGGGGAAAAGCGCGAAATATGATTATGAAACTTTTTTAATCAATAAAACGAGCAAAAAGCCAGGGAGGCGTTCGCTTCCTGGTTTTTTTGCCGTTCTGCCTTATTTCTCATTACGCTGCCGCCTTGCCTCGTTTCCTCTGACGTCATACTTATAATCATTTATCGTTTGATGGCTCGAGCGGTCGGCGCTCGCCTATTTTTAAAGGAAATTGAAAAAGTTGTTATGATCGCGCTGTGTGATCCTGGTTACTGCATCTTTTGTTTTGCAGAGTCGAAGCGTGGAGGGATTTTTTTATTGGTCACTTGTCACAAACTGTCAATGTTTAAATGCTTTGGAAATAATTTGAACGTAACTTGGAATGGTAAATAAGCCAACAACTCATTTCATGGGAGTGGTAACCGTATATAAGTATGAACATAATTGGAAAATAGAAGTGCTGTAAAACCTCAAATCAAATTATAACGACTTGATTATGACTTACAGATCGATTTCATAGAAATTTTATCGAAATCTGTTGAGTAAATTAGTTTCTAAATCAAAATAACTGGTTTTGTCACATTTGAAGTTATTTATTTTTGGGACACAATCTTTAATTATTTGTGAAGCACACTTAATTATTTTCTAAACAAGATGTTATTTTGCAAAAGTGCCATAACACCGATTAGTTGATAAAAAATATTTTGTTTAATTCCGCTACCATTAGTATGTGTGCGACTGCCAACACTCGAAGATTGCCTACTATTATTACCAGTCAGTTCTAAGACCTAGCAACATTACCTATTTGGCTATCAAGATAGTGAGGGGACTCTTTCTCTCTCTTTTTGTCATTTTTTGATCCGCATTTTACTTTGGCCGTATAGTCCCTGCATAGAATAGGCCACCCCTTCCTTTCTCGTGGGTGTCGTAAGAACAGACTAAGGGAGGGCAAAGGATGGGCAGCAGCGTTTCTCTTAAATACCTCTTAAGCCTGACTGCGGTTGCCAATCCGTTGCCAAGCGTGGTAACTACTGGGTACCCCCAAGAGGGAGGCTTACCTTCAGCAATGGACGATTAGGGGCCGATATGATGATGATGCAATGATGATTTACTTTGGGAAAATGTTCATTTTACACTCCATTAAGATTATACATATTTTGATTTCTCTTTTTGATTCTCTGTATGGACTTGTATGATCGAACTAGCATGTACCATCTTATTGTGTACATTGTTGTGTGGGGAGAAACTTTGTATTCAGATATCGCTCGATGATATTTCCACTACATTACACTGAACCTAACGGTCCCCTCGTAACTCATGGTATGAACACTACAACTACCTATTGTGCTATGTTTGTATAAAATGTATTACTATTTTAAAGCAATAGAGATAGGAATTATAAGACACTAGCTTTTACCTGTAACTCCGTTCGCGTGATCAGTGTATATTTTTTCTATGCAACTTAGAATAGCAAATAAGCTGACGGCCCACCTGATTGAAAGTGGTAACCGGCGCCTATAGACATGAGCAGTACTATGGACATAACAGAGTATACTGTTTCGTCCATGATATCTCAGCATTGCCATTCCTGAGGACTCTGGTGTTATTCCTCTGTACCCTGTAAATTCACTGCCATATCCTACCCTTGTTCATTAAATGGGATAAAAAGCCTATGAAGATGGGCATCTTCATCCCACATAGCACGCGTATACCAAATTTCATCATACTTGTTATAGCAGTTAAGATGTAACAAACAAACTCACTTTCACATTTATAATATTAATAAGGATACGTAAAATTTCTAGGTTTTACACGTTGTTTGTTTTGTTAGTAAAATCATCATTATCATCATTTCAGCCGTTAACTGTTCACTGCTGAACATAAGCCTTCCTCACAAGGGAAGTTTTGCCAGTAGTGACTACGCTTGGCAAGGGGTTCGGTAACCGTAGTTAAGCTTTTAGAGATGTTTGATTAAAATCGTAAACATCATATAACGGAAATTTTCCACTGAAGATTTTCCAATAGAAGCGTAGGTCGAAAAACGACAAAAATACAATACTAATAATAATTTGAAATCTGGGTGACATAAGTGACACAGAGATACCCAGCCGAACTAGGACACTCTATTAGCTTTGATTTTTCTATGTTAACATGGCATGTCTAAATAGATAGATACTCTTTATTGTTTCCTTCAAAAGATTACAATAGTAAACTTAATATAAATAAATATACACACCTATACAGTTCGAGCACATCAATAAATAGTATATTTTTAAAGTGCGCAATTACACGTAAATAAACGTAACTTTATTGGCATCCAAAAACTTCCCAAATTACCCCAACATTCCTGAACAGTACCAGAAACAATACATTTAAACAAACAGCCGGCCCAACGGAGGGTGGTGCATTAGCGAGTGATTATCGGAAAGAATCAAAGTGCGTTAACCCTACCGAGCTCGGGCCGCGGTCGGCGTGACCCCCGCGGCACTGGATCGCGGGGTGCCAGTATGGGAAAGACGTATTTGGCATTGTGTTGGACAGTTTATACTTGGCAGGACAAACGATGGATAATATTTGTGGGGAATTAATAAATTTAAGATACGGATGTTTACTTGTCTATTTAGAATGATGAGTATGATTCCTTTGAGGTAGGATAATTATTTTAACCGACTTTAAAAGAAGGAGCTTTTCAATTCGGTTGTACTTTTTTATGTTTAACTTTTATACCTCATAACTCCGTCAGTTGTAAATCAATTTAGAAAATTCTTTTTTTATCTGAAAAAATATACTTGGAGATTGGACTCATAGACATTTTATCAAAATTGGTTCGACAGTTTAGTTTTCCACAATAAATTTATTGTGGAAAACTAAACTGTCGAACCAATCATTATTCTCAAAATGACGCTTTCTTTTATGCCACGAAGGTGGCAGACAAGTGTACAACCCGTCTCTTGGTTAATGGCCACTGTATCCTATGGACGTCTGCAACACGAGTTGTGTCTAATAATACCTCTTGTACTGTGTCATCATCATCATTTCAGCCGTTATTCGTCCATTGCTGGATCGGGATCCTCCCCCATACACTGCCATAACGAACGGTCCTGAGCCACCTGCATCCACTGCCTCCCTGCAATACATTTCAAGTCGTCACTCCATCTAGTGGGGGTCGTCCTACACTGCGTTTACCCGTACGCGGTCGCCACTCAAGAACCTTTCTTCCCCATCGATTGTCGGTTGTTCGAGCTATTTGACCAGCACATTGCCACTTCAGCTTGCTTATTCTTCGGGCTATGTCGGTTATTCTCATACTATGTATACGGGTATAATGAGTGACAATGGAATGGCAACCCCATCCCCGCTATCGGTATACACCAGCGGTGCTCCAGTGAAGGATGATAGGTGAGGATGAAGTAGGTCAGTTAGGCCATCGTGACGAATTCAACAAGAATTGTTCACGATGGTTTTCAGGGGGAACCACGTGGAGGTCGACCTATTAGGGCATATTGCTAGCAACGGGGCTGTCAAACTCCATTGCTAACAAGCACTCTCTCCCCTGTATACGAGTATATAGGATCATCTTGCAATGCGGCGGTGTCGCTTGCAGTGGCGACGCACAGTGGACGCTAACCGGCCCGCTGCGGTCACCGCGGGGCGGACATAAATTCGAGCGACGAAAACCTCCGACAGCTCCGAACCGTAGCCTATGCGAGGCGATAAT